GGTTTCACTGGGAATCCACCTCCTGCTGGCCTATGAATTTTTCAGTTTCCTTCACTATCAATTATAATAAGTAAACCAATGAAAGAATCGTAGTAGAGAATACACTCTATAAAGAAAAAACAATTAAATTCTAGAACTGAAAATAGAATACCTGTGCGGTGTGTTCTAAATTGTGATTTTATTTGATTTATTTCTATTTTTATTATATGAAAACATATAATAAAAGAAATAAACTTGACTGAAAAAGTACAGTGTATCTATACTGAAAAATACAAATTAAAGAAAACCTAAACAAATGAAAAGACATAATATGAGCAAAGATTAGAAGATTCAATATCATTAAGATCAGTTATATCAAAGTTGATTTGTACATTCAATGAAATACAAAATCTAGTTTCATCAGAGGTTTTTATAGAAATGGACAAATTGATTCTAAAGCTTATATGACAATGCAAAGGACAATGTATGACCACAACAACGTTGAAAAAGAAGAACAAAGTAAAAGGATTTATACTATCTGATATCTAGAATTACTACAAAGCTATGTGATAAAGACAATGTGATATTATTGCAAAAATAAAGACATATATAAATAGAATACAATAGAGTCCAGATAGAGAAGGAACATAACATATGCAATACACTTTTCTTTTCCTCCTTTTCCTCTCTCATAAATATTCATCAACATCCTTTACCAACTTTCTTAATAAGAAAAGAGCCTCACGTTCTCAACATAGTGCAGAGAAACTATTCTTAGGCTAAGGCAACAGGTAAGTTTCAACAGAGGATGTCTTTTGCTTTACCTCTCATGCTGTAAACTGGAGAGACTAAGGGTTCTTTTCAAATGCCCTCAAGTCTAGTGTTTCACCAGAGAAGCAGAATAGCAATGGTTGAGTGTGTTGCCTCAGGCTGAATCATTTGATAACAAACTAAAACAGAAGGTCACACCCTGAGAAGAGCAGCCTGTGTCCCAGAAGAGATAAAGAAGAGCTTGAAAGGGTCAGTGGAATAGAAGAAGCTATTAAATCTTGCCAAGGAATCTCTGTTAATAAACAGAACAACAGTATTTACAATACTGACTATAAATGTCAAAAGAAGATATATGAGGAAGTCAGAATTACTGGTGACAGATAAAGATGAATGGCTACCAGGTATAATGTTACAGTGCAAATATTAAACCTTAATATGTGACGTTTTTTCTTTTTAGAAAAAAACTCTAAAAATTTCTAAAAAAGACACCTTAATAGCAATGAGCACATCTAGAACCCAGAACTCGATTTTTAAACTCATTCTTCAAAAAAAGGAACCAGTATTAAAAATATCTGACATAACCAACTGTAGGATATGGATAAAAAGAGATGTTACTCTAAATAACTTTGGAAACTAGAATGGACTGTAGGACTAAAAACAAAAGAAAATGTACATAAGCATTATTCTAGTTGGGAAAGTTGCTTTCGGTGGTGGTCCAGAGTAAAAGATGTGAAGTTACCATATATGTATATTGAAATTGAACCAACAAGTAAGTTCATGGTGAACAGTGAGAGTGAAGTTTTTATTCTTGGAGAAGTTATAGATAAGAAAGGCAGAAGGAATCATGTCGTTCTGGATTAGAGTCATAAAAATCTGTATAATCTCATGCTTAGTTTAATATAGATACTGAAGGACAGACATACAAATAATTATAAATATTTCTTCATGCACGAGTCAGTACACATACATAAATGCCTTAGCTCTGTTCACAAAGAGGGCCTAAACCAAAGACACTTTAATAGCAATGAGCACATCTAGAACCCAGAACTCAATTTTTAAACTCATTCTTCAATTAAAAAAAAACAGAAATCCTTAAAATGGATGAGTCTAAAGTAGCAAGTATCATACAGAATGAGCCTGGAACAGCTGGATGCCCGAAAATGAGTGCTTAAAAAATAAAATGATTGGGTTAAGTCAAAAGGGTTTTGAAAGTTCTCCCAACAGCCAAAGATGAAACAGTTTGAGCAACAAAATAAGTAGCATATTGTATTAGTCAGGGTTCTCTAGAGGGACAGAACTAATAAGGAAGATGTATATATAAAGGAGAGTTTATTAAGGAGTATTGACTAACACAATCACAAGGGGAGGCCCCACAATAAGCCATCTGCAAGCTGAGGAGCAAGGAATCCAGTCCGACTTCCAAAGCTGAAGAATGTGAAGTCTGATGTTTGAGGGCAGGAAGCATCCAGCATGGGCGAAAGATGTAGGCTGGGAAGTTACGCCAAACTAGTCTTTTTATGTTCTTCTGCCTGTTTTTATTTTGGCCACACTGGCAGCTGACTAGATTATATCCACCCAGACTAAGGGTGGCTCTGCCTTTCCCAGTCCACTGACTCAAATGTTAATCTCCTTTGGCAACACCATCACAGACATACCTTCAATCCAATAAAGTTGACAATATTAGCCATCACATACAGCACGGGGTTATAATCTAATGCATAAATACCCATAATTCAATACTATAATCAACCAACCAAGGAGTACAAGTCTACATGGAAGAAGTCCAAATAACATGTGTAGATACTCCCTTCTCTACCAATAATGTGGGATTAGTGACTTAGTTCCACAGAGTAAATTATGAAAAGTGTGTGACAGGGGCAAGGGTAGGTTTACAGTGGAGAAACCTAGCAAACATTATCTTAGACATGTGATCAACATTAATATCATCAATAGTAAATCATGTTGATAGCATGTGCCTTTTATATGATATGTTACGATCTTCCTCACAAAAACCCCAAAGCCCTGTCTAGCCATGAGAAAATAATCAGACAAATTTTAATTGAGAAGCAGGCTGCAAAATATCTGACCATTACTCTTAAAAAACTCTCAAGGTCATCAAAAGCAAGGAAAGTCCAAGGAAAAACTGTCACAGTCCAGAGAAGCCAAAGGAGACATGAGGATTAAATACAAAGTGCTATCTAGATAAGATCCTGTATCAGAAAAAAAAAAATAGAGAAAAACAAATGAAATCTGAGAAACAGCACAGAGTAGTTGATAACGATATCAATTTTGGTTCATTAGTTGTAACAAATGTACTATACGAACATAAGATATTAATAATAGGAAAAACTGGGTGTGGGATATATTGAAATTCCAATATATTTGCCACTTTCAGTAAGTCTGTAACTATTAAAAATTTAAAGTTTGTTAAAAATAGTAAACAAAAATGTATATACAGCAGGAGTAGGGCTGGGAAGTACTATAAAACAGATAAAGTAAGCCAGAGCATGGTTGCAATGAATGAGAACAGAGACGGGTCCAAAAAACAAATGTTTTTCCCATAACTACATTCTGGAATTAGGTGACCGTTGGACAAAAGAAAGAGAGAAATAAGAACGAATCTGAATCATCGTAAAGGCCACTATTTTATCTTGATTGCATGATTATGATTTCTACAACTAAAGAATAGAGAATTCAAAGCTACATTTACTTAAGCTGTAAGTGGTAAAACAAGGCTTATATTGGATTTTGTGGGCAGTCATAGATTTGAAAATGTATACCTTCTTACTCAAGTATCAAAGGAAGAATTGAGGAGGGGTGCAAAAACAGAAAATAGATGGTATCCCAGCATCAGAAAACAGAGTTAACTCACTGTGGGGATTCAGTAAAGATCTCCAGTTTCTTGGATGTAAAAACATAGGTTTAGAATATGATGTACTAAATTATTGGTGCAAGTAAAATAAGTATATTGATATGTCTCTGGAAATCAGAATTGAATATACTTAGTGATATGAATTAGGACAATAATAGGCCAATGTGCAGCATGAGGAATCCAAGAGAGTGGGAAGGTGCAGGGAAACAGGTTGCAATTTTAAACAGGGCAGTCAAGGTAGAACTCCTTCTTGCCAACTAGAACACATTGAAACAGACTTGAAGGAGATTTAAACATTGGTAATGTGGGACAGCCAATGAAAAAACACTAAACAAAAAGTGAGTTTGCCATGTTCAAAGAACTGCAAGGAGAACAGTGTGTCTTGAGGAGAGCAAGTGTGAGAGTAACGAGCTATCAGTTCAGGTGAGGGTTACAGACTGTAGGGTCTTGAAGGCAAAGTAAAAATCCCAACATTTACTCATAGAAAGCCACTGCAAAGTTTCTCAAGAAGAGTATTATAATCAAACATTTCAATGGAATCATTAATTCTGCAAATGATTTAGAATAGTTTAAGGAAATACATGTAGAAAACATGAAGAAACAACTTATGGAAGGTTTCATTTAGAGTACACAGATTATGATGTATAACAATATATTTATATGTATTTTATATACTGTGCATATATGTACATATATGTATACATGAACAAGATTAATCTTTTCTTCATAAATAAATGTAGATAATCTGCCACTATGAGCTTGATCTTCAACACTGTCTCATCTCTTCCCAAAATGAGTTTATTTGTAAATTGCTGATTTCTTTGGGACATTGTCTCTATAAACTTTTTGTAAAGCATCTATGATTTTTATCATTTTCTGCCCAAGCTTCATCACAAATTTGAAGTTTGTTCCTGCTTCAATTTTAGCAGAATTAATGTTACTCTGATAAGGGCATTTTTAAAACTGATATCTTATCTTTCTTAGTGCCACAATCTGGATTCTGTTCAAATATGTTACAACAAATTAGTATGAGTTTATTTTGGTATAAAAAAATTACAGTCTATGCATAGCTTTTTCATAATATGCATTTTCCATGAACTTTTTGAAGATCCTTGCATGATAATGTTTCAACTATTATTTCTGTCCTAAAATTAGTGTTTCTATCACTCTGCATTGCCTTTATAGCTGTATTTAAGAAATAATAAATTAGGCATAGTAAGTTTAAGTCAAGTTGTTACCATAATAACAAGCCCAATTTCAACAAGTTACTATAATATCTCCCTAAAGTTCCTGAAAATAGTGAGAAATTATTTTATTGGTAATTTCTTCAAAGAGAACAAAGCTTTCAATTTGTGCTGTTCTTTGCTTGAATCTTAAGGCTGAACTTTCTGAATTTGGTATGAGAAGCAATGATCAGGAGACACAGAGCTGGATAAACCTTCTCATGAAAGTATATACTCACTCGTAAGTCTGGATTTCAGAAAGTTGGTAAGTCCATTTCCTTACAAGTCCATTTTTAAGCCACAGAGAAAATGATTCCTTTAACCTTGAGTCAAGTCATGACAGGCTAAGGTAACAATGTCTAATATCAGAGTGCCATTTTGCAAATTATTTTTGTGAAAAAACATTTCTGAAGACAGAAACTTTCAAAAGAGAAGTATCTTGGGAATAGGAGTTAAAGGTTACTGGAATACTTGAAAAGTCATATTTATAACTGTATTAGTCCATTTTCATGCTGCTGACAAAGACATGCATGAGACTGGGCAATTTACAAAAGAAAAAGATTTAATTGGACTCACATTTCCACGTGTCTGGGGAGGTCTCACAATCATGGCAGAACACAAAGAGGGGCAAGTCACACGTTACGTGGATGGTAGCAGGCAAAGAGAGTGCTTGTGCAGAAAACTCCCATTTTTAAAACCATCAGATCTCATGAGACCATTCACTATCATGAGAAGAGCGTGGGAAAGACCTGCCCCAATAATTCAGTTATCTCCCACTGGTGCCTCCCACAAGTGGAAATTATGGGGGCTGCAAGATGAGATTTGGGTTTGGACACAGAGCCAAACCATACCAATAACAAATCTTCCAACTGGGAGAAGAAATACTAGTCAGCAGAACTTCTCAATAAGCAGCCAATGGACTATATGGCCTGACATGTTATTTAATAGAGTACTTCATTCTTAAATAGTATTTTCATATTTTATTTTCTCTTACTAATAAACACGAAGTTGTATGCTAAGCTTTATGGACTTTGGTGTGCTTTGCAAGACAAGAATTTCAATACACCTTTAATCATATTACTAACTTTCTCTCATACATAGCCAGCATTTTCAAATGTAAAAAAAAAATCGTTTTGCTTTAGCTTTTAAACAAAAGCTAATTTCTTATCTCCCCAAAAAGGATGTCTATACCATTCAAAATAAAGAAAATAAGGTGCATTGATGTAATTGACATACTTATGGCCACAGGAAATACAGAGGCAATAGCACCTGTCACCTATACATACTTCACACGATCAACATACCTGATAATTACAGCAAAATGTTAGAATAAAATATGAGAGCTAAAAGCAGGAAAAAAAAAGTTCTAGGTGAAGTTCAAATTATTCAATTAGGCATGCATGCAGCCCTTATATATTGAGTATTAGGTATATACCAGGTTTTGTTCTAGATGCTGATGTTATAGTAGTTAACCAAGACAAGGGGTCTGACCTACTGGTACTTATATTCTAGTGAGGGAGATGAGTAATAATTATATAAATTATAAATCATATAGATGTATTTAAGCAAGATAAGGTGGAAGTATGTAAGGGTAGAGAAAATGGTGATCAGGTTATATTTGATAAGTCCACTGAAGACAACTTCTCTGATGAGATATTTGAGAAAAAAACTGGATATTGAGAAGGAGGGAACCTTGTAAAAGTGTGAGAGAAAAGTATTTCTCAGTAAGTGGATAACTAGTTTAAACTAGGGTGAAAATGAGTTTGTTTGAAATAACAAAAAGGCCATTGTGGATAGAGCAGAGTGAGTGAAGGTTAAGAGAACGAAGGTGAAAAGGGAACCAATAATCATATCATATGTGTCATTGTAAGCCAAAATAGAGTTTAGATTTTGCACTAAGTATAAAGAAAAAACAACACAGAGTTTTGTTTTTTTTTCTCTCTCTCTCTCTCTCTCTCTCTCTGTGTGTGTCAGTCACTTGGGTTGCTATAAGGCAAATGAACTATTGAGAGGAAACAGTGAAAGCAGAAATACCACTTAGGGGAAAATTGCCACAATTGAGGGTATGACATAAAGCTGGCCCAGTCATAAGAACTGTGGAAGTTTAGAAAGTGAAGAGTAATACAATTTGAGATATATTTGATTTTTGAGCCTACAGGATTTTAATAGATGGATATAGATTGAACAAGTATAGAGAAACCAAAATTGACGCTTAGATTTTTAGATTGTTTATCTGGTTGAATGGTAGTGAATGAAATGGGATAAGAAAAATGTGGAAGAAACAGTTTGTGGAAAAGGTGAGAGAAAATCAACACAAAATTCTCTTCTAAATACATGAAACTACTTGAGACACTGAATAGATATTCACGTGGGAATGTCATCTCGACTTTCAAGGTAGTCAGACTTTCAAGTCTGTAGCTCACAATAATGGTTACAGCTCAAGATCTAATTTAGGAATTATTTGTCAAAAAAAAAATTGGATTCCTAATCTAAGTTTTTCAAATACACATATGAGAGTTGAGTATATGCTCAAGCATATAAACTGAGATAACTGGAAAAAATGCAAATCCTATTTGGAACTCTTGTGAGTTTAAAAAAAAAGTTTTGTTAAATTCTAGAAGAGCATGTCGGAATAAGTATGCGTGGGGAATAAGAGTAAGTATGCATGTGTATATGTGTGTATCTAATAGGAGGAGTTGTTTCACCATAGAATTTCTAGGAAATGTTTTTTTTTTTTTTTGAGACGGAGTTTCGCTCTTGTTACCCAGGCTGGAGTGCAATGGCGCGATCTCGGCTCACCGCAACCTCCGCCTCCTGGGTTCAGGCAATTCTCCTGCCTCAGCCTCCTGAGTAGCTGGGATTACAGGCACGCGCCACCATGCCCAGCTAATTTTTTGTATTTTAGTAGAGACGGGGTTTCACCATGTTGACCAGGTTGGTCTCGATCTCTCGACCTCGTGATCCACTGGCCTCGGCCTCCCAAAGTGCTGGGATTACAGGCTTGAGCCACCGCGCCCGGCACCTAGGAAATGTTTTATTTCATCTAAGGTAATTAACACCATTTTATTTCAAACATATTCACATTATTCAAATTTTATGTTTCCTTATACTGCGTCTAAGTAGCATCAGGTTTTACCACAAATTTTAAAACATATTTTACATTATTATCTTATGGACATAAGTTCATTTCTACATTGAGGATTAATTTTAAAAATGTAGCTCCTTTGATGTACATTATATTTTTATAAGAAGATAATATGAATATAAATCCAACAAACCTGTTTATTTAGAAAAGGCTAATAACATTTGTTCTAAACTTTTTACTCTGTCAGTAGATTGAAAAGGTGTTAGAGTAGTTGTTAAAGATAAGGATAAGGAAGGAAATTTATTAAGAGAGATTTCTTAATCTGTGGACATTATTGGGAATGACTTCATCCAATCCAAATAGGAACCATTTCTCCTCGCAGGACAGAAGCATACTCAATGGAAAAAAATGCCCATATTAATACAACACTGCACACAGATGTTTTCAGTATTTGAACAAGGGATTTATCAAAATATTTTTTTCTTTAAAAATCTCAATTTAACTTTAACATGTATATGAGGATACTGCTTTCTATACACCCCAATATTAATATATGTGTTTTTCCTAATTTAAACCAATATATATACTATTTGTTTAGTCTCATATAAAGACTTGTTTATTGGGTAATTGTTACCCAACAATCCATCCTTATTTAGAAAGCTATTTTTATTCACTTCACATCTTAAATACTGAGAAATAAAAGGCATTAAAATACCAGTGACAGATAAAACAGAGAAAATTGCTCTGAACAAACTCTTCTAGAATACTGTGGTGCATATAAATTATGAAAACACTAAAACTTGATCAAAAAGGAAGGTCTTTAACTTTCATTTAAATGCATGAACAGATGTGGCAGACCTAATGTCAATGGATAAATGGCCCCAAAATGTGGAATATGAGAACGAGATCTCTGAATGCTTTTAAACTCATTCCAGGCATGGTTGGATTCCTCCAACAATAAATGAAAGACCTAGGGTGCATGTAGGGCAACTGTCAAGGCTTATAAGACTTTGACCACCAAAAAACTTTAGCTCTGTAAAGAGATTTATTATCACTTAAAAATTAATTTGCTGCTTCACAGTCACCTGTACACATGGAGACAAGTTGAGTCTCAATTGAAAAAATGCATATCATGTAAGTCTATTTTGAATTATGTCTACAATTGTATCCTTTATTTACTGCGTAATTTCCTATATCCTTGCAAACTAGCTAAAGCACCAGAAAATCTATTTGCAAATTTACTCCCTCAGGAATTCCTTATGTTTACCCCACTTGTTTGTGCTTGTGTGCACATTGTATCTTCTGGGAGAATGCTATGGTTTGGTTAGTCTGACCTGATGTTATAAGTATACAAGAAATTTTGATTCTATGGAAGCACTTGTGTCACTATGGCATATGTTCCTCCCAATACGGGGATTATTAGAACAGTCTCCAGATGAATTTAAAAGTTGGGTTAACAAAATTTAAAGCCTTAAAATGTTTAGTTTTAAGAGCAGGTGATAGTTATATTTTGTAGTGTAACATACTAAATCGTGTCTTTAGAGGCACTGATTATATATTCTTAAAAGTAGATAACTGAAAATCATATGGCATTATTTCTTATAAAGTAACCTTAACTTCTTTCATTTCTCTGTCATTCTGTGAGGTTATTACTACTGCGACCCAAATAAATTGCATCACTTTGACTCCCTCTGCATTACCATAATCATTCCCTTTTCTCCATCTTCAATGGAAAAAGGGACTGCTATGTTTGTTCATTAATTTTTGATCTCTCATCTGGACTACAACAATAGTCTATGAGTTATTCTTCTGCCCATGATTTCATAACATTCCATTTCTTCTTCCAATTGATGACAAATAATCTTTCTAACATATGTGTAAAAATATTAAAAGGACCACAAGCTTCTTTTTTCCATCTTCTCCTTTATCCCAGACTTTAACTCAGATTTAAACACTTATTTCTTCCACTCCAGGCTTAAGGAATAACTACGGATAATAAGCATTGTGTGCTAAGCCATTCATGTATTGCTACAAAGAAATACATGAGACTGGGTAATTTTTAAAGAAAAGAGGCTTAATTGGCTCATAGTTCTGCAGGCTGCATAGGAAACATGGTGCTGCCTCTGCTCAGCATCTGGGAAGGCCTCAGGAAGCTTTTACTCATGGCAGGAGGTAAAGCA